ATGTAAATTACAGTGACTTAATGGCTCAACAAACAGGCCAAATATCGGTGCACATAAGGAATATGCCAACTTTGGACATAATCCACACATTGCCGAGGTTCGAACCTTGGTATCTTCTCCTAAATACTGAATATTGAACTAGTAAGCTAACCCGTGCGGGCAGAAGTGAATTTACTAGAAACATGACTTAATGGCATTGCAGGCTACTTACAAATTGTTCCTTTCTTTTTGGAAGTTAATTGTGATAATCTTTCTTTCTTTGTATGTGGCTTGTCTAAGTTCTTAAGTGGTTTTGTACTTTTCTCGAGAGCATATACACACGACCCATTGAACAATAACTCCATAAGAGAGGAAAGGAGGAGGGTTAATGGAACAGTCGCGTGATGTTTTTGTTTAAAAGGGAATATGTATTTGTTCATAACTACTTTCTCAACATACTAAAACACATATAGTCAATAGCACCTGTATTGAGGCTCAAACTCATAATCTCCCATGTAGGAATCCAAACTTGGTGCCATTGGACTACAAGGTTCTTGGCAAAGACATTTTGCTTTAATATCTTATTAAGTTTCAATAATCTTGAATCTTCAACTAAAGAAGATTTTACTGACAACAAGGGTTCTAATTGTAGGATCTGGGAGAGATTTAGAAGTGTGTAACTTCATATTTGCAAAGATCTATATAAAAAATGCTGCAAACTATGGTTTGACCAATAGATCGGGCTAAAACTATTAAGCATTTAAGCTTCAGTCAAAGACTTGATTTTGTGTTCAAATGCCTTTAGCATTTTTGTGCACAACAACAATCATACAAAAGATTGAACTTTCATCATTAAGTGGCTGATAGATCGTTTCCTTGTCGAGGATTTCTATGAACTCCGAACTCTCCTGTGTACTAGAAACAAGATACATTGAATTTTTCTGAAAGACTTGGCCACACACTCACTAATAGAGTGCTTTTCTAGTTTTGATAGCATATATAGTGATTAATATTGTGCATTATATTTATTAATAGCGGGATTTATTTTTTGTGAGATGAAAAACCTAGAGGGAAATAGAATTTCCAAACCTGCTGAGAATAAGCGTGGTGATTTTCTCTTCCCATTAAAGAGGGAGAAGAGGGTTCTTAGAGTAGAGGCGGATTAAGAAATTCTGTCTATTGGGTTCTTGAATGTTGACTGGCTTTGCTTTGTTATCAAATTGGGTTGCATTTGTTTTAATATTGTAATGGGTCTTTCTTGTGGACAAAGACCCATTTTATTATAGAAAATCTTAAATATCACCTTATGACCCTTATTACAATGAGGTAAACTAGCATAGGTTTCTTAGGGCATCACCAATAGTAGTTTTTTTTTTTTTTTTTAGGTTTTTGGTGTGGTTTTTGGGGCAACATTGCATATGTGGACGAGGGAGAGGAAGGAGAGAGATGGTTCAAGGTCCTCCTGCAAATACTTGGTTTTTGCGGGCATGGTGGTCCCCAGCAGGAAAGAAAATAAACTTCAACATTGCGCGTAAGGCACACAATGAGCGTCCACTCGGGCGCGTGCACGTCACGTGCCTAGTGGGTGCGTTATGCGCTTCTATTTTTTTTTTTTCTTTTCTTTTCTTTCCCATGTTCACTCTCCTAAGTAGGTACCTAAAAATTTATGCTAAAAACTACACAATTGAGGATGCCCTTAGTTGATTGACTCAAATCAATGAGGCCAGGACTATGTGGTTCAATGGTATCCGGGTTGGACTTCTATTTGGAAGGTTGTGATTTCAAGCCTCAGTGGAGGCCATATGTAATAGAACTAGTAGCATTCAAAAAAAAAAAAGTTAACAATATGTAATAGAACTAGTAGCATTCAAAAAAAAAAAAAAATTAACAATTTAACTAATTTGACTAGGATTGTTCCTGTAGTGATATAATTCAAGGGTTAGAAAGTTGGTATTCCTAATTATTATTATAACCAAAATTTTGTGTCTTTCACATTTGTCAGTTTTGCTCGACACCATTTTGACTCTATTGAAATTGCAAAAATCCAAACCTTTTTTCTGACGATAATTCACTGTTTTCCCAGTTCAATTTATCTTCTCCCATATCTCGTCTCTGCACCAAGAAAACAAATTCCTCTCCGGCAATATCTTCGTCTAGGTACTGGGTCAATATCAATTTTCATGGTTCCTTATTTGTTCATTTATTCATTCTAATTATCTTTCTCGACATTTTGTTTTCTAGGTTTCCATTTTTGGATTGGATTGTTTATCGCTTTTGTATTCTAAACAGGAAAGTGAACTAAGAAGGAAACGAGGGTTTTAGGTTTTTAGTTACCCTTCATGTGATTAGACCCAATTAGTGTTTAATTTGCTTATTTATTGCACAAAAATTATTTTCTAACATTGGTGATATATTTTCTCTTTTCGATTTGTGTTTCGTGCTCTATCTTTTATAGTTTTATATATAGAAAGTGATTTAATTTGTTGGCAACTAGATGAATTAGCACTAAGAAGAGAATTTACTTCTCCCAAAAGGTTAGAATCCCCAACCCTAAGGGCCCAAACACCCCAGCCTTATAGAATATTTTTCAAGATGTAAATCACAGTGACTTAATGGCTCTGTAGACAGGGCCAAATGCTGGTGCTTACAAGGGATCTGCCTATTTTGGGCATAATTTTCGCATTGCCACTGCCGGGGTTTGAATCTTGATATCTTCTCCCAAATACTGTCTACTGAACTAGTGAGCTTAGTCCGTGCGGGCAGAAGTGAATTTACTAGAAACAGGACTTCCCACACCCACCCTCCACCACCCAATTTTGCTCGAAAGGGAAAGAAATCCTACGCCCCTACCCGTTCTCCCGTACCGGAACCAGAAGCAAGGGAAGGTGATCGCTTCCCCCACACTTGATAGACATCACCCAAGCCCCTCTATACATATTCCCCCATTTAGTATAGACAAGGATTCTATCTAACTTTCCTGAACCCAATTAGCAGAACCACGCCCCCTCTCCCACGTGAATTGATACACACCAAAAGGAAAATTGATTAAGCCGCAATCTCTAACCGCTTCACCAAACCCTCATAACAAGTAACCCAGATAAGGAATCCTCCCCACCTTGTCCCCAGGCTCAAGAAGATCATTAAAATCCCCTATGACAACCCAACGTAAGGACAAGAGAGAAGAGAGATACCTGAGCCGAGCCCAAGACTCTTGCCAGTCTGAATGATCAGGACAACCGTAAAAGCCTGTAAAATGCCAAGGAACATGGTCAGCAGCTAGTCAGATGCTCGAATAAATGTAATAGCGAGAGAATCCCATAATCTCCAGGTTAATATCATCCATCCACATTAATGCCAAACCGCCGCTTCTCCCCACTGCATCCACACTCAAGCAGTTTGTAAACCCCCATCGAACCCGCACTCCCTCCATATAACTTTCATTCTTCAGGTTTAAAAAAAAAAAACACAATACTAGGCTTATACTTTTGGACCAAGTCCAATAAAATTTGAATTGTCTAAGGCGGTCCAAGCCCATGATAATTCCAACCGGACCAAGCCAAAGCACTCATTGGGCCTGGCAGGTCTGCTCAGCAGTACCTGCCCCATCAGAAAAATAAACATTTGAATCCATACTCATTGGGTTATTACTAGTCATAAGCCCACTCAAATACACCTCAGCTCCCACGCGTCACCTTTTCTGCTCAAACACCACCCCCTCATCCCTCACCTCATCTCTCATTAAAGGCAATAAATTCCCATGGTTACCTTCCTTCTCTCCCTCACCCACTACCCCTTTCATCTTATCAGTCGGACACACTACTACCAAAGCCGTTACTATCATCCCTCCCTTGTTGTTTGCCGCAGCATTCCGACCACCTGCCAGAGCTCCGGCCAAAATTCTGAATACTCCCAACTTCCTTGTTAGCAAACAATAGGGCAAAAATGATCAGAATGTCCAAGACTCCAAGGATGTCGCAAGCAAAACAAAAATTTGGAAGGTGCTCATTTTTTTATTTTTTATTTTTTAATTATTTTTTTTTAATTTTTTGGTGAAAGAAGTTGTTCATACTTAAGCTCAACCCAGAACCATTCACCACCCAACTTCTTATAATTATTTTATGATTATCAAGTTAACAACTTAACCAATTTGACCAGGATCGTCCAAACTAGTGATAAAATTCAAGGGTTAGAAAGTTACCCAATTAGTGTTTAATTTGCTTATTTATTGCTCAAAAATAACTCTATTACAATGTAGTATCTACCTGTTCATATACTTTCTCAACTTACTGAAACACAAAGAACCAATAACGCCTCCAATAAGGCTCGAACTCACAACCTTCTGAATAAAACCACCAATAAAACCACATGTTAGCCAATGACGCCGCAGCATTCCGACAACCTGCGAGAGCTCCGGGCCAAAATTTTGAATACTCCCAACTTCCTTGTTAGCAAAAAAGTAGGACAAAAACGATCAGAATGTCCAAGACTCCAAGGATGTCGCAAGCAAAACAAAAATTCGGAAGATGCTCATTTTTTATTTTTTATTATTATTTTTTTACTTTTTGGTGAAAGAAGTTGTTCATACTTAAGCTCAACCCAGAACCATTCACCACCCGACTTTTTATAATTATTTTATGATTATCAAGTTAACAATTTAACCAATTTGACCAGGATCGTCCCAACTAGTGATAAAATTCAAGGGTTAGAAAGTTACCCAATTAGTGTTTAATTTGCTTATTTATTGCTCAAAAATAATTCTATTACAATGTAGTATCTATCTGTTGTTCATATACTTTTTCAACCTACTGAAACCAATTTGACCAGGATCGTCCCAACTAGTGATAAAATTCACATACTTTCTCAACCTACTGAAACACAAAGAAGGCTCAAACTCACAATCTTTCAAATGGAAGTCCAATCCAGATACCATTAGACCAAATAATCTTAGTATATTACATTAATATATAATAATTAAGAAGTTATATTTGTATATAATATAAGAACTACAAGGGAAAGAAGTCAAAAAGAAAACCTAGACTATCTCTTCAAAGGGGGGAAAAAACCTAACGCCTCTGCCTCTCTTCATCTCTCACCGTCTCACTTGACACTCCAAGTCCCGGCCACCCATCTCTGCTTCGTTAGTCTCAATCCCAGCCGTTAGCTAGCTCCTCAAGAGTCACACGGTCACGCCCTCCGTTGCCGATTTGCCGACAGTCGTTTGCCCATCTCTGCTTCTCTATTTTGTCATGGTGATAATCTAGCTTCTATGGTTTCGCTGCTTTTTCTCTTTATTTCTTGAAATAATTATGCTAAATATTACGGAGTATGTTTGGTTTTGGTGGTACAGTGGTAATCTAGTTTTGGGGGACATTTATGATTTAGTTTTTTTTTTTTTCCTTATAATTATCAAAATAAAATTAGTAAAAAGCTACAAAAATTAATTTTGTTGTCTTGATGATTAACAGAAAGTAGTATTGCTTCCCAGTATGTATGTCATTAATGAATTGAAGGATGGATTATTGCAGAAAACAGCATAAAACCTAACCTAAAGCAATTAGTAATTTTTTTTTTTTTTCCGGGACGGGGAGTCCCGTCCCCATCCCCATAAATTCCCAATGGGGACGGGGATGGGGAAAATTTCCAATCCCCGTTGGGGAACGAGGCGGGGACGGGGAATGGGGGTTGAATTCGGGGACGGGGACGCCACTCCCCACCTTGCCCCGCCCCGTTGCCATCCCTAATCAGCACTAAGGAGAAGTGAATTTACTTCTCCCAAAAGGTTGAATCCCGAACCCCAAGGGCCCCACACTTCGGTCCGACAGAGTATTTGGGTGGATGTAAATTACAGTGACTCAATGGCTCAATGTCGATGCCCACAAGGATATGCCCACTTTGGGCATAATCCCCACATTGCCGAGGTTTGAACCTTGATATCTTCTCTGCTTACTGAACTAGTAAGCTAAGCCCGTGCGGCGGCCGTGCGGGCAGGAGCGAATGTACTAAAAACAAGACTTAATGGCATTGCAAGCTACTTACAAATTGGTCCTTTTTTTTTTGGAAGTTGTGATCTTTCTTTCTTTGTATGTGGCTTGTCTAAGTTGTTAAGTGGTTTTGTATTTTTCTCTAGAGCACATTAGAAGTAAAGAGAAAAAGAAACTAACAAATGTTAAAGTCAAATTAGACTTTATTAATTGCTTTCATGACTTACGATGATATTGTCCTTTCATGACAAATTATACACACGACCCATTGAACCATAACTTCTTAAGAGAGGGAAGGAGGGTTAATGGAATAATCGCCGATGTTTTTGTTTAAAAGGGAATATGTATCGTTGTATGTGCATAATGTCTTTAAATCTTTAGAGGAAGGAAACTCCTTATAAAGTTTTTATCACATAGAATAAGGTCCTTACTCCTTAGGCTGATTCCTTCTTGGAATTTCAATATTTCATTTAACTGACTTCCATCTTCAATAACTATGTTTTCCATAATATTGCTGTGATCGAAAATTGAATTGAGAAATGTTTGGATTTTAAAGCCCTTTTGCTTTAATATCTTATTAAGTTTCATTAATCTTGAATCTACCACTAAAGAAGATTGTACTGGCAACAGGGGTTCTGATTGTAGGATCTGAGAGAGATTTAGAAGTGTGCAACTTCATCTTTGCAAAGATCTATAGAAAAAATGCTGCAAACTATGGTTTTACCAAGAGATTGGGATAAAACTATTAAGCATTTAAGCTTCAGTCAAAGACTTGATTTTGTGTTAAAATGCCTTTTAACGTTTCTGTGCACAACAACAATCATACTAAAGATTGATCTTTCATCATTGAGTGGTTCATAGATCTGTTTCCTTGTCTGGGACTTCTATGAACTCTGAACTCTCCTGTGTACTAGAAACAAGATACATTGAATTTTTCTGAAAGACTTGGCCACACACTCACTAATAGAGTGCTTTCTAGTTTTGATAGCATATACAGTGATTAATATTGTGCATTATATAGTTAATAGTGGGGTTTATTTTTTGGTGAGATGGAAAACCTAGAGGGAAATAGAATTTCCAAACCTGCTGACAATAAGCGTGGTGATTTTCTCTACCCGTTAAAGAGGGAGAAGAGGGTTCCTAGAGTAGAGGTGGATTTAGATTTTCTCTACCCGTTGTTGCTTTCTAGTTTTGACTGGCTTGGCTTTGTTATGAAAATGGGTTGCGGTTGTTTAAATATTGTAATGGGTCTTTCTTGCGGACAAAGATCCTTTTTATTATAGAAAAGCTTAAATATACCTGCTGAACTTTAGAAAAAGAATCCTTTATTGTAAAAAATGCATTATGGGTTTAAAGTTTTTTTTTAAGTGAAAAGCGACGAGGCACTATCTCGCCTTAAAGTGCAAAGTGAAGTGTCACTTTTGTTCAAAGAGTGACACGAAGTGGCAATCATCACATTTAATGTTTTTAAAGGATATGTAAATGATTTGCACACACTTTTTAGCTAAAATTATAATAAAACAAGCACATTTGTCTAGTCAAATGATCACAAAACATCAATATTAGTTAATAATAAATACTAATACAATTAATGCAGCAGTTATACGATAGGTGGACCCGGATCCAAAATACACAATTTGCATATTGAATGTTCACAATCTGAATTGTGAGCATTTAGTATGTAAATTGTAAACATTTAGTCATTTAGTATGTAAATTGTGTATTTTTAGACCCTTGCAAGGTGGACCCAGGTCCACGTAATAATTTTCCCAATTCATGCAATCCTAATCAAGATCCTCATCTTGAGAAGTCAACCATATCATCATTATAGATTTATAGGCTTCTGTATCATATTCTTCATTTACAAGCTTGTACGTTTCAACTTTTTGTTGTCCTCTTCACATATTCCTCTTAGCTTTCTCTTTTCATTTGGTAATATTTCTAAAATATGGGGCCTCATCCGCATCATAAAGTTAGGATTATCGCCCCAAGTCAAATCATCTCCATCATTGAAGACTGACTCTTAGTATTCAACTATTCATTATCAAAATTGAGGAAATTAAAATCAACAATGTAACTTATAAACATATCAACTCTTACATCTTCAAACAAACTTTAGTTTGTTTTGCATCCTAAAGAACTTGTGTTGGGACTAAGAATCCTTATTGCAAAATCTCTCACATTTCGAGTTTGCTGACTAAAATTCGTCCACCACATCACTATTAAAAAAATTGATCATAAATAATTACGATTTATAAAAATATGTATTCAAATAAGATGTTATGTAGTTGAGAGTTGAAGGCCTTTTGTGGAAAGGCTGTTCCCGGAATACTATCTTTTGATGTAGGGATGTCTTTTGATTCGCACCGAGAAATTGTGTGCCGTTGTGCCTCGGATTCTAAGTAGCTGAGGTGCATTTGGTTGGAAGACAGGCCCTGTTTAGCAAAATATCTGGTTTTTCATCCCTCAAGCTCAGTGTTGTAAAACTTGGCCTAGGTGCTAAGTGCCCCTAGGCCAAGTCAATTATGGACTTAATCGGCATTTACTTGCCTATCTGACTAGTTGGCAAGTCAGCCGATTAGTCTGATAAAAGCCTACTTGGGCTTTAAATTTATTTTTATTTTTAGGGTTCTTTCACTCAAAATGATCTAGTTTCGAGCAAAACGACCCAAAATTTGTTTAAGGATGATGACAAGTCTTGGCTGGTCCGCTCTGTTGATTTCATAAAGTTCCATATTCTTTTCTGTTGTTCTATGATTATATTTTGCGATGCTCTCAACTATGCTGCATTGTGTTCTCTCTTCTAAAACTCGCCAAATACACAGGCTGCATTTATATTCATTGAGATATATACTTATGAAATGTTTCTAAAGACTGTTCTTTTCTATGAAGATATGGATGATACAGTACCCGTTTATTGTTCCATTCCCGTGCTCAGCACATAGTGAAGACATCAAACTGGCCATCTTGGGATTGCAGAATTTTGAGATCTATTGTGTAAGGTTTCTGTGAGTAGTGAAAAAGAGCTGAACTTTAGTAAAAAAATGGATGGATTTCTGGAGAAGCCTTTAGATAATAAGGAGCAGTCCTTGAGCCATGACGAGCTTATGATGCGTCGTCTTAAAAACCGAGAACGGCAGCGCAGGTATAGAGCTCGGAAACGTCTCCAAGCTGATATGAATAAGGCACCTAACAGCGATCCAAACCTATATACTCCGCCGCAACATGCAGAAGTACCAGTAAATGTCGCTCCCGAGGAGTATGCAACGCCACTAAGCATTAAAAAGGTTCCCGACTTTCCTGAAAACCAATGCTCGCCAGTCCTCCTTGAAGTGCCAGTGACAGTCACACAGCATTACGAAATGCCTTTGAATGCCATTGCCCAGGAATGCTCGAGACCGGTAAACGAGACTTGCCAGGTACCCGTGACCCGCGTCTACTGCTCACGGGATTGGAAAAGAGATGCCAGAAAGGCCCGTGCACTAAAGCAGCAAGAAGTTCGCCCCGATGCCATCCCTATGCCAGAATCAACATCATCCAATGGAAGCCAAACTTCTCTACCCCATAGCAACGAAGCAGACATGGTACGAAACGACAGAATCCCCCTTGATGTCTCTGCGCAGGTTAACAATGAAACACCAAGGTTCACCCCAAGCCGGAGACATTGGAAAGCAGAGGCTAGAAACAAGAAAAGCTGAAATGGTTCTCGTGAGTTGCTCTCTGGAGGGTTGACATATTTGCAGAATGTCGTTTCCTTCCTGCAAATATGGAAAACGAATTTAGGAGTATCGACATTTTGAGCACTTTTGTCTTACCCCACTCCATCTTAGGAGGGGAGGGTCTATATATTGGCTGTTGTAGCCTTTTTCAACTCTCCCACATATGAATGCATACTAATGCGAATATCAAAAGATTTGGCTCCTCTCAACTGGGACTGCAAGATCTGTAGAAGTGCCTTGGGAAAATGGTATTTCTCATTCTGTAACTCTTAAAATAAAATATTGGCCCTGTTCGATAACATAGTTAGCTTATCAGTCAATTTTAACTTATTTGACCACTATTAGTTGTTTGACTTGGTTAAATATTTAGTATAAGTGTTTGATTAATTAGCTTTTTGTAACAGCTTATCACTCCAAAATGTTAAAATTTAAAAAGTTGCTCAAAGCAGTTTTTTGAGAAAGTTATTTTTCGTGTAATCAGTTATTAGCTAACAGCAATTCGTTAAAAGCTAATAGTTATTTACCAAACATCTCCAAAATCTTATATTTCCTATTTCCTTGTATGTACTTTCCCTATTTGTTAGCTTAGGTGGATCCATCTTAGACCTTAATTAGAAGCAATGGATCTCATTATGTTTGACAAGTCTCTTTTATTATTATTGTTATTGTTGTTGTTGTTGTTGTTGTAGAGTATTTTTATACCTTATTTATAAAAGTTGGATATTATTGAGCTTATTTTATGAAGTAGGGTGCTTTATGCCTTCAAAAAATAAAGGTGCTTTATGCTATAATACTTTAGTGCGAATTGCAGAGTATCAGCGCACAATTAGGCATTACAAGTTGTACAATCGTAATTACAAAAATGTCATCACATTTTTTTTGAAAAATACTTTACAATATATTTTGATAGTAGTTTTTTAAGTGCATAATCAGTATTACAAGGTGCACAAAAGTGGTTTGCATGTTTGCATAGGAAAGCTGGTTCTCATTTGATCGTGATTATATATATATATATAATAGGTGTATATGAAAAATATATCAGAACATCGAAAAAGGATATATAATCAATTCTTGCCTAGAAAGATGGGATATATTGATGATTTTTAGCTGGTGTTGAGGAATTTGTTAATTATGCATATGTACTCTCAGTACAGTATACTAGTTGACAAATACAATTAAGTGTCTATGTAATAAATGCAAGAATAGAGTACAATTGTCTGTTGGTGATGTCCATGTTCACTTGTATAAAAAGGGATTTGAATCGTATTATTGGATATAGACGTCTCACGGTGAATCAATTTCCACGTTAAATGAACAATTTATTGTGACACGCAACAAAAATAATCAATATGAAACACTGATGTTTAATTTAGGTAGTTCTTTTCCTACGACTGAACCTTGCTGATGATTGAAAAGTTTGAAGAAAAGATTAATATAGTTTATCTTATAATATTATATTGAGCATGTTGTGTATTTAATTTGTATATATCTTTCTTGAATAGAAAGAAAAGTTGGTAGAAGATTCAAGTTGTGCAGTCAAATATAAATGCAAAAATGGAGGTGGAGCATATACTTTAACTTTAATTTCGCGATTATATGTATATTTCGCTTCCCCTTATAATTAAATATTTATCGTCAAATCATGTTTATGTCTATTACCTAGATGACCTTATATTATTTGTGCTTAATTAAAAATTGTCTTATGTACCAAGTTTTGATCCGAATAGTTAATCTGAGTGAAACCGGAACGAAATCTGAAAAACTTGAATCAAGTGTTTAACTAGAAAACATTTTTGGAAAATTTACTTTTGACCCCAAAATTAGTCAAAATTCACTTTTATTCTTTGGTCCATGATGCAAAGTGAACCACAAGCTTACCCTTACTTTGTTGATGTTTTCTAAAACCAAGCCAAATTCCTTATTTGCCCTCCACCAATCATTGGCAATATTCCTAGGGTTTTGAACCCTACAAATACCTCTCTATTACATTGTTGTTCCCTGATCCCATTTCTTTGCTTCTCTTTGAGCTCTCTGTAATCAAGAAGGAAACATAATAAGTTCATCCTCAGCCAACCATTCATCTCCTACCTTAAGATTTCTATCTCTTTTGCCTTCTATTCTCTGAGGTCCTTCCCTTATGTGTTATTTGTATGGTTTGTTTGAGGGGTTTAGGTGGTGGAAGAAATGTTAGCTAAGTAGAGAGGAAGAAGGGATCCGCACAAAGAAGATGAGGAAGCTAAGGTATAAACCATGGACTCCTAACTATATTTTTTACTCTGTTAAGCTGCTAGAATGAATATTTGATGCTTAGAAATGCTAGATAAATGTTGTTGTTGAGCTATTTGTGAGTTATTGTTGATCTATGATTGATTTATTGAGGTTTGGGAGTGTTGGATTGCATCTGTGTTGTCTAACATGTGAAGAAGAGGGTGTTTTGTGCACACAGATAGTGCACCAGAACATCCAACGGAGTTAGTCAACAGACCTTGGCATGGTCCGTGGCTTGGCGGGGCTTCCCTAGCCCTGTCACCAAGCTCCACTAGGCCAAAGGATGGTTATAGCCGGGCCCTCTGTGGCTCAGCTACGCATTGTTCGGATCGGGGTTCTTGGGCCCTTGAGGCTCGGGCACTCGGGCTCGTTACGACGCACTAGTAGAAGTTAGTTTTGTTGAATTTGGAGTTAGAGAGCATGTTCTACAGTTCAAAATGTGAGAATTGAGTTCTCTGTTGTTGTTGTTGACTGTGAAGTTATCAGATTGTGATTTTAGCATCTGAGTATTTGCTATTTGGTTTAGAAGTATGCTTAAATACTTGTCTTTAATTGTTGAGAAGCTTTGCTAAGAATTTGAGAAATTGAATATGTCCAGTACATGAATACTTGTTCACAGTAAAAAGGTTTGCTAGAATTTGAAGTATGTTGTGAGTTAAGAAGCATGATTAATACTTGATTTATTCATTGAGATGATTGTTAAGTGATTGAGATTTTAGCATGAAGCTCGTGCATGATTTCCTTGTTTCATAGAGAATGAGAATGCAAAGTATGTTTTCACAGTAGAAAGCATGTTTAGTAGATTTCATTGAGCAAAGTGCATTTGGCTCTAAGTAGCCCAAAATCTATTTCAAAAACCTATATATATTTATTTTGGAAAATCATTGTCTAGTTGCATTGAGAAGATTCCATGATATTTGATTTCCAAAATGTGAGAAAGAGAAATTATTGAGAATTATGTGCATAAGAAGTTGCATGAGAAAGAAGTTGCATGTGATATATCTATATATACTATCTATGGTGAGAATATAGTGTTTTGGAGGCCCGGTAGGAATATGTCCTTCGAAAGAAAAGAGAAAGAAAGAAAGTTTGAAAAAGAATCGGACATTGTGAACCGAAAGATTATTAGAAGTAACGAGGTCGATATTCCCGAGTTACTAGAAAGAAAGCAAGTCTGTGTGACTCAAAAGATAGAAGAGAAAAGCGAGTCTCTGTGACTCAAGAGAAAGAAGAGAAGAATCGAGTCAATGTGACTCAACAGAAACCTCCACAGAAGTAGTATTCTTTTGTAAAAGAACGAGAGTATATATATATATATATATATATATATATATATATATATATATATATATATATATATATATATATATATATATATATATAGAGGGTTGCATTCACATGCGAACACCATTAAAATACAAACATGTGGACATATACTGTGCACACACCTAAATGCGGGTGTGCACACATCTGTGGAGGACAGTGCACACACCTAAATGCGGGTGTGCACACATCTGTGGAGGACTGCACACACCTAAATATGGGTGTGCACACATCCGTAGTATGTATGTGTGAATCCGCAGTATTTGGGCCAGTGTGCACACGTCCATGAACGACAGTGCACACAGGCAGACACAACACACAAAAACATAAAAATTAATCACAACCTTAGATATCCAAAATCTAACGATCCAGTAATGTCCACATGTTTGTATTTTAAGCCCTGTTTTTACATGAATGTAATTATATATATATATATATATATATATATATATATATATATATATATATATATATATATATATATATATATATATATATATATCCAGGGATGCAAAACTCGGCCGTCTAGGCGCTAGGCGGCACAAAGCCTTGCCGTTTTGGCCTAAAGGCGGCCAAAACTCGGCCGGCCGAGTAGGCGGCGGCCTAGGAGGCCAAACTCGGCTGAGTTGACCGATTTCGTCCGATTTTGACCGATTTCGTCTGATTTTGACCGATTTTGTTCGATTTTGACCGATTTCGTCCGATGTCGTCTTTCATTAATTATTGATTTTAACATTATTATGACGTTATGACTTATAAATTATCATTATTTTATTTATTTGGATGTGTTATTTGATTGAATGTTGAAAACAACCTCATTAAAATTGTCAAACTACAAGTCTGTTACTATTTTTTTTAATTTTTTTGGTGTCCGCCTAGCGCCGCCTAGATTCCGCCTAGGCACCGCCTAGGCACTAGGCGCTGCCCGGCCGCCCGACTAGCACCTAGCGCCTACTGCAACCATGTATGTATCTATAAAGCATCATGATTATCATTGCATGATTTGCATGTTTTGCCTATAAACTATAGAGTATGATGAGAAGCATAACACTTTATTGATGTTTAAGATAACATGAAAGCATGAATCATTCTGCTGAATTATTTAGTGATTCTTACCTATCAGTTCGAGCATGAATTTGAGTATTGAGCTTTGTTTAGAAATATCTGTTAAGACATAAGAATTTGTGTAAGAGAAGTACTTGTGAAAACATGTTTATATGTTGAATAGGTTGTAAGCATATAGTATATTGTTGAGCATGGTTTGAGTTCGATTGATTAAAGTGTTGTAAGTACTTGAGTTTAAGTGCACTTGCCAAATGATTTTCAAAATCTATATCTATAATACTTTACAGGGTTGAGTGGTTTTATACTTAGCATTCATGCTAATGGGTTCATTTTTTCACTTTTTTAAACCCCTTTCAGGTGGGCCCAGTGGTTGAGCGCGTATGAGATAGTATAGCGTGTAGTTGAGATGTTGGATCTTAGTATAGACTTTGATTTGAATTATGATGTTTAAAACTCTGATGATTAGATACTTATGTTAGTTTTTGTTGGTGTTGAACTGGCTTTGATCCCCAAGTTTGGATTTTAGATTTTTGTCGAGCTTGACTCTAGATAGCACCTTTCTTAGCCTGTGCAGTCATCGTGCATGGTGACTGTGGCGGTGGCACCCTTTGGATGGTTTTAATCTTGTTAAATTTACCTTCTGAAGTTAAGATTTGGTGATATAGATTTAAGAAAAATAGGGTGTTACATGCAATTTGATCGGAGTGACCAAATTGATAAAAATTACATAATAAAGGTACTAAATTAACACTTTTAAAGGTCGTGGACGGCAATTAACAAAACCCATATAGTCACAGGACCAAAATTGAAATTTACTCATATTGAATACAGATTAGATCGAGCATATGTGTTTTATATTATTATTGCATGTACAAAGTGTTAAGACTGTTATTAGGCTTTTATTTATCATTACTTTTAGCAATTAAATACGTTATTATAGGTGTCTAGACAAGTTAATTTGATTTAGTTTATTTGCGGAGATATATAATAAGGGAACAAAACTTTAATTTGAGTGTATACGGGGTTTATTAATCTTTGAGTGACAAATTAACGCCATTATGTGAGAGTATGTAGACTTAGCTCAAATGGTTCAGTAGATAGTATTAGAAAAAAAAAAAGACCAATGTTTGATCTTTGCGGCGACAATATAAGAATTATGCCTAAAGTGGACAGATATTTTGTGCACACAAGCATTTGGTCATGTATGTCTGTTGAGTCATTGAATCACCTGTGATTGTGATTGTGGATACCCTTGGAGTTGGGAATTCAACTTTTATGGAGAAGAAGAGTGTGTATTGGATAAATCCAAATCTTGTATCTTACATAACCTAGGAACCTAAATTAAAGAGAAATGCAATTTTCTGCATATTACCAAACTAACTAAAAATCATGTTTGAAAATCGCAATGGTTCAGTAGACCGTATTTGTTTGGGAGAAAAGATCAATATTCGAACTTCGCGGCGACAGTGTAGGGATTTTGCCTAAAGTGCGCAGATACTTTATGCACACCGACATTTGGTCATGTCTGCTGAGTCATTGAATCACCCGTGATTGTGGGGGCCCTTAGAGTTGGGAATTCAACCTTTATGGAAAAGAAGAGTGTGTATTGGATAAACTCAAAATCTATTAATCTTGTACCTTACATAACCTAGGAACCTAATTTAAAGTGAAATGTAATTCTTTGATATTATCAAAATTATCAAAGTAACTAAAAATCATGTTTGAAAATCTCACATTTCACCTGAAGTGATGTAATATAACTTAAACAAAACCCCTCCAAATTAGAAAGGATTTTTTTCAATGTAAAAATGTTAATAAAATTGTTTTAAAAAAGATAAATTTAATAGACCAATGGAAAACTGGCAAATAGATGACACTATTAAAACAATATAGTTGGGAAAATAACACATGAAAAACTTCTCTAATAATGCTTTTGCTTTGCTTGAATATTTGAAATTTCCAGGAGCCTTCAATTTTCTGCAAGTCTACTTTCCAAAGCTGAACGGAGCTGCTCTGATGTGTAATGGCGGCTCCCCATCTTCACGGTGGCCTGTTGGATCATCAACTTGTTGGCCACCGACACATTTGCATGGCGGATATGAAGGTCCAACTCCTTGAGCGCCGCCATCAGCCTCGCCGACGGGTGCTTCTTCTTGTCACTACATTCTATCTTTATCATTGCGTCTTCGCCGATGATGTTCACGTCCACATCTACGCCGCCCTTGTCTGCATCTTCTTCTTCTCCGGCGTCTTCAATATTCTTGCCATTCTGGGCGGGACTACTGGGTTTGGGGTCTGCGGCGGCGTTTTGGCCGAGCTTTGATTCCAGCTGGTTTATGTAAGCAATGGCGTCTTCGAGGATGGAGGCTTTGTCCATTTTCGAAACGTTTGGGACCATTGTTCTTAGGGTGTAGAATCTCTGGTTCAGTCTTTCCCTCCTTTGCCTCTCCGCTTGCACATGGGTCCGCGTTTCCTCTTTCCCGTTCGCCGCCTTTCTTGCTCTCTTCTTTGGCCTTTCCCCTCCGCCGCCGCTGGGCGGAGCTGTAAGTTTGGTATTGTCAAAAACGATAAGGCAAATAGATATAAGCAAAGAATAATTATAGAGTTGTACGACCCACGGGAAATACTACTCAAAGAAATAAGTAGAGGAAGGGATCGGAGGAGAAAGAATGTGCAAAGAAGGTTTTGGGAATTATGTTAAGGTAGGTGGACAGATCTTTTGTGGGTATCAACTGCACAGACATTTGATATTGTCTGCTAACTTTATTTATATTTTTTTAGTTTGTACATTTGATCACATGTACCTCAAAAACTTAATAGCTGTAGTGTGGAGATTATACCTAAAGTGGATACATCCCTTATGCTCCCGGCCTTTCAGTATTTGGTTTTGCCTGCTAAGTTAATGAGTTAAGGTGATTTATATTCTCCTAGTTTGTACTTCTAAAACTCAACAAGTGTAGTATGAGAATTAATAGATTATAGCTAAAATGAGAATTATGTTTAAAGTGAATAAATTTTGAACATTTTCTACTAGACTAAGTCACGTGGTTTATAATAAAATTTGTAAGTCCCGATCGAGAATGCGCCCATGCAAAATGAAAATTCAGATAGAAAGGAAAACAATATGCAGGGCATTAAAATATTTGCATTACTCACAATCAACACCACCACCGGAAGCGAGCAGAGCTAGAGCCACCCCGTCGTCCTTCTTCCTCCTTCTCGGCGTTGCGCATCTCGCCGGCGTCTTCTCCTTCTCCACCGCCATCCGTTTGCTAGTAACAGAAGGAATTGAATCCTCCTGGCTGGGCATGACGCTGCTCGGATTGCTCAGGCAGGAGCTTCTCGAGGTTAAACCCATTGCAAAATTATTATTATTATCATTATTATTATCATTATTTTCTTCAAAGTTGAACAAAACCCCAATTTGGTTAATCAAATGGGCGTCGTTTTGGAGAATCAAATCCGTGGAGCCGAGCTCGACGACGCCATTTTGCGAAGGGATGCAGGCCATGGTTTGTAGCCCTAATCGCTTTCCCTGTTTGGCGCGTTCAAACGGCGCGGAATCGAGTTCTCCGGCGCCGGAGATCCATACCCGGTTCGACCGGTAAAACGCGTGACCCGGAAGATTCGAATCGTTTTGGAACGATTGGTTCATGGAGATGAGAAAGAACCACTCTGGGTCCGTGATTTCCTCGTCGATGGCATCGCTACCGGCGGCGGGGGTGGCAACTAAAGCGTAGAGTTCCCGGAGAACCCTCTTCCGCCGTGCCTGCTCCGCCACCATCTCCGGCGAGGAGGACCGCCGTGGAGTCGGCTTTTCCACGTCCCCTTTGTAATACCCGTCGCCCCACGCCAGCCCCGCCTGCCCTTCGAACCCCGCCGCCGGCGACCGCCAGAATATCGCGTACGTCCACTTCTCCGCCGCGCCGTCGACCAGGATCTGTAGCCGCCGCTGAAGATTCTCCTGGAATCCATCTTCCCCGACCGCGACGGCCGTGGCTGGTTGCCGGGAATCAGAGTTGATGACGGTGGGCGGCGGCGCTGGAAACGCCGGCGCGGTGGACAAGAACGCCTCCATAATGTAACCGTTGGTAGTAGCGGCGTTGGCACCGCACTTTCTCGCCGACGGCAGCTTGTAGTCCTTCATTCAATCAACCAAAAGTGAAGAATTTGCGAGAGGGAAAAGGAATCGTAAGGTTTTTGAGACTTTTCTAGTCTAGTTATCTAGTTATCAATAAATACTAATATTATCCCCATAAGTATCTACTATATTGTGTGCATGCATATATATTATAGCCATATCTGCTATAAATGGTATTGGTATTAATACCATCAAAGTTTTCTTTATTTTAATTCTTTAAACCATAAATTAAGAAATATATTAATTTTGAAAACGAGTCAATTAAAATACAGCGTATCATATAAAAATGTTAGCAAATTTTTTGTTGATTAGGATTGCAAGGTGAATTTGTTTTATACAAATTTTTGGATAGTAACTAGAATGACCTGTTTACTAACTAGAAAATTTCTCTAGTTTTATGAAAAATTGAAAAATTAAGAACAGAAAACACACAATTTTTCACTAAGAAAAAAAAAACTATTAAAAACTGTTTTGTAAATGGTAAACAGAATTATCTATCATATATTTGGTTATATGTCTCTATAACCACATTCTCACTATTATCTACTTACATGTTTATTTATTACTATGATTACATTCTTATCATCTCCTTTTACTTATCACAATCTTCTATCTTTTCTACTTGCATTACTTATTTAAACATAACTTATTTGCTTATACATACTTAAAGTTAAACATTATTCACATTATCAAAATTAAAAATTGAACTATACCAAGTTTTATATTTTTAGTGAACTCAATTGATTATTTGTTCAGATATTTTTAGATATGTTAATCGTAATACAAGTAGTTTGGTCCATATATCGGATATTAAAATTTCACATATATTACAATACTAGAAGTCAAAGTAAAAATTATATATTTATATACATATCATTCAAATGAATGTATCCAAAAATATTTTAAATATTAGATAAACAAATATTAACATTATTTAAACTAAATTTTAAGTGAACTTAATAGGTTATTGGTTCAGATATATTTTTAGTTATGTTACTTATATGCATATATAAATTTTGTTCAAATATTAAATGTAAAAAATCTTACATATATTGGACCTAAAATTAAAAAATATATTTATTCTATTTGAACTAAATATATTTTAAATATTTAAATATAAGATCCAAAAATCACATGAAATCCTGGTGGTGGGGACTTAGATTCTTGGGGCTGAAAATGTTTGAGAAAGTATAGAATAGATACTACTTGTAAAGAAACTTAAATATCTCAAAAAAAAAAAATCACATGAAATTAAACTTGTGTTAATTTTATAATGCTAATATTAAAAAAATAAATTTTTAAAAAATAAGTGTTAGTAAACAAATTTCTAAACAAAAAGACAGAATGAAAACTGAAAAATTAAAAAATAGAAAACAGTTTTTGTTAATAAACAATCCCAGAGTTATCTTGTTACTTAAACAAAATGTCAAGAAATCAAGTTATACCCCACTATTAGCACTTTCTAGTATCTAATAAGTTATTCAATTCACATGATTTGGTCTTATTTGGAGTGGAATATAAATATATGTAGGAATAAGGGTCAAATAGGCCACTCAACTGCACACCAACATGCAATTAGGCCATCCAACTTAAAAAAAAATGCAATTGAGTCCCTGAACAACACAAATTTATGCAATTTGACCCAAAATTACTTGTTCACCTGAATAGGAGGTTACTAAATTTTAAAATAATTTTTTTACAATAATTTTAATTAAAATAAATATTTAAAATTAAAAAATTAAAAAAAAAAAAGAAGAAAGAAATCGCCAGAGACGAAGAAGTCTTCGTCTCCTGGCCGAAGACGAAGTTACCTTCGTCGTCTCCGGCCATGGAGACCAAGGGACCTTCGTCCCCAGGCCATAGAGACGAAGATCTCTTCGTCTCCATGGTCGGAGACGAAAGTACCTTCATCGTCGGCTATGGGGTACCTTCGTCTCCGGCCATGGAGACGAGGAGACCTTCGCCTCCATGGCCTGGGGACAAGGGTCCCTTCGTCTCCATGGCCGGAGACGACGAAGGTAACTTTGTCTCCGACTAGGAGACGAAGCGACTCGTCGGAGACGAAGACTTCTTCGTCTCCGGCGGTTTCTTTTCTTTCTTTTTTATTTTTTTTTTATTTTTTTTATTTTTTTATTTTAAATATTTATTTTGATTAAAAATTATTTTTAAATTAGTAACCTTCTATTCAGGTAAACAAGTAAATTTTGGGTCAAATTGTATAAGTTTGTGTTGTTCAAGGACCCAATTGCATTCTTTTTGAGTTGGATGGCCTAATTGCATGTTGATGTGCAGTTGGGTGGCCTATTTGACCCTTATTCCATATATATATGTATTACTAATAGAGGCTAGCAGTAGCATAACATTGGTGGCCAATTAAAATTCTTAACTATTTTTGTTCATTTAAAAAATATAGGAGGCATAAAACATCAAACTATAGTTGTCTAAAATGTCCCCAAATGAAGTAGGATGAAGTTTGTAGATATTTTATAATAAATTAACGGGAGGTTTGGTTGAAGGGAATTTAAATTCCCTTCTCACTTAATTCCCACATAATTTCAAAGGCCACAAAATTTTCTTGTTTGGTTGAAAGGAATTGCAATTCTCTCATTTTCATGGAATTAAAATCCAATGTCCCCCTGAGATTTTAATTTCGGGGATTTTAGGAAGAAAAAAAAAGATAGCGATGACTGATAAGTCAAAATTACCCCTTCCTTTTTTAACCTAAAATTAATGCATAACAACAACAATGGACATTTTTGAATTTATACTTGAGTAAATACCCAAAATGGTCCCTCGACTATAGCTAAATTCACAAATTGGTCCTCAACTTTCAATTTCACCCAATTAAGTCCTTAACTTTGCAATTTTGACACGATTTGGTCCTCCTCTAATTGACCGTTTGTTGACCGTGATCGACGATCTCCAAAAGAACCTTCAGCTCTCGTCAGAGCACGTGGAGGCCTCCAGGATGACGTTGCACCGGTTCGGAAACACGTCGTCTTCTTCGCTCTGGTACGAATTCAACTACATTGAATCCAAAGGGAGGATGAAGAAGGTGACCGGGTTTGGTAGATTGCTTTCGACAGTGGATTCAAATGTAACAGTGCGGTCTGGAAATGCAATCGGAACCTTAAAAAGCCGACGTTGGACCATGAAATTACATATATATCCTCAAAAATCACAGTCAACAAACGGTCAAATAGACAAAGGACCAAATTGTGTTAAAATTACAAAGTTAAGGACTTATTTGGGTGAAATTGAAAGTTAAGGACCAATTTGTGAATTTAGCTATAGTCGAGGGACCATTTTGGGTATTTACTCTTTATACTTCTTATTCCTTTTCAATTCCCATGTATACCAAACATTGGAATTGAAATTCCCAGTAAATCTATTCCTGTAAACTAAACACTGAAATTTAAATTCTCACTTTATTCTCAGTAATTCATCTCCCATTGAATTGCAATTCCTTTCCCACGTAATTCCCCCTCTCCAACCAAACGCCCTGTAAAAGTATTTTAGATATTTTAAAGACAGAAGTGTCAAATAGGCTCATCTACTAATGCGAAGTGCTCAATTCCCACCACGAATTAAAATACAATGTAATCAGCCACACTTACCAACTAAATTTGTTCGATTGACTTTTTTTGCAGGTTACCTCCAGGTTGTCTATCCACATGACATGTAATTTTAGTATAATATAAGTGTATGGTGAAGTGGAATTTGCTTCCTAATTGCGTTGACAGCAAGAAAACCACTGCTCTTAGCAAATCGCAACAGCAGGAGAACTAAAGCTTGAAGCTTGAAGCAGGTAATTTTGGGTCGAGAATTGAGACCACAATTCAACAAGCGATGAACCTTGAGAGAACAACTCTGTTTTGCTTAATTTGGAACGATGGAATTAGGCCAGATAAAAAAGTCCAATGCATACCCACATTTATTGTTAAAATACATGATAATCGAAGCATCCGATGCAGAACTATCTACTTCCTAACGATTTAGGATAATTGTTGGTGTCTATTTTTCGCGTGCAGGCTCCTTACTCTGATCCTAGGACCAATCTCCGATACGCTAATACAGAAGTCTTCAATATGAACAATTAAAAATTGAAAGTAGTGGTTATTAGGGATTTACAATAGACATGCGAAGCTCCGTCGTTGAGAACAGGGACTCTGTATTCCATGGCGCGCTTCGCCGGCTTCACCAACGGAAGCGAAGGCGAGGATGACGGATGACGATGGCGAGGATGGGTTGTGATAGATGGAGGCGTCGAAGAAGAAATTGAAGCTATCGCCCAATTTTTTTTCTTATTTTTATTATTTTAAATGTATGCTTTTCTTATTTTTTATTATTTTAAATGCCATGTAAACAAGCCACCTAAGCGTAACTAGGACATGTCATGATAAATGAGGTGGTAACTTGCTAAAAATGTTAATTGAACAAATTTGACAAATTTAGCTAGTAAGTGTGGCTAGTTACACTATATTTTAATTATTTGCGGTAGGAATTGAGCATTTTCTAATAGTAGATAGACCTATTTGACACTTCTGCTTATTTTAAATTAAGAATATATAATGGAACATTTTTAAAGTCAAAAGCAAAAAATGGAATAAATCAAAATCAATTACTAAAAGGGGAAGTATAAAAAAAATCAAAATTGGAATAAATTCTTTTTATTTTTTTGGTTGCCCAATCCTCCTCTTGAGCAACATTGACAAGTCAGCACAACAATTACGTACCTTCCCTCGAAGAATGATGGATCTTATCTAGTAGCCCTACAAGCAGCTATCAATTTTGTTTTAAATTTAGTCATATAAAAATTTAGAATAAATTGCACTTTTGGTCCTGTGACTATTAGGGCGTTGATAATTTGAGTACGTGACTTTCAAAACTCTCAATTTAGTCTTTTAACTATGCAATTGTTAGCAGATCTAGTCCTGCTGGCCAAATCGCCAGCCAAATGTTGCCGGAAAAACGTAAATGCTATTAAATTGTTTATTAATGAGGGTAAACCAGTCATTTTAAACACTTCTCCTTC